ATTCATGGAAGCATCAGCCAAGAAATCAAACGAGGTATGATTCTCTGGGCAAATTATTGAATGATGCAGAAAGCATCAAAAGAAGATGGAAGAAATACACAGAGTCACTGTACCAAAAGGAATTGGTTAATGTTCATTCATTTCAGCAGGTAGCATATGATTAGGGAGCCAGTGATACTGAAGGAATAAGCCCAAGGTGCACTGAAGTAATTGGCAAAGAACAAGGCTCCAGGAATTGATGGAATCAAAATTGAAATCTTTCAAGAAAGTGAGGCAGCACTGGAGCCCTCACTCAGCAATGCCAAGAAATTTGGAAGTCAACTATCTGGCCGACTGATTGGAAGAGATCCGAATTTGTGCCCATTCCAAAGAGAGGTGACTCAACAGAATGCAGAAATCATCAGACAGTCTCTTTGCTATCCCATGCAAGTAAAATTTTACAAAAGTTATTAGAGAAATGGCTGCAAGCATACATTGACAGAGAATTTCCAGAGGTTCAAGCTGGATTCAGAAGAGGATGTGGAACAAGGGAGAGCATTACTGATGTCCGATGGATCTTGGCTAAAAGCAGAGAATATCACAAAGATGTTTACCTGTGCTTTATTGACTCCGCAGAGGCTTTCGATTGTATGGATCATGACAAGCTATGGACAACATTGAGAATTATGAGTATTCCGGAACACTTAATTTTGGTCATGAGGAATCTGTACCTGGACCAAGAGGCAGTTGTTTGAACAGAACATGGGAACACTGAATGTTTTAAAATTAAGAAAGGTATGCGACAGGATTGTATTCTTACAACATACTTTTTCAACCTATATGCAGAGCAAATAATCTGAGAAACTGGGTTATATGAAGAAAAAAAACATTGCATCAGGATTGGAAGAAGACTCATTAACAACCTGCGATATGCAGATGATACAACCTTGCTTGCTGTAAGTGAAGAGGACTTAAAATATTTACTGATAAAGATCAAAGACTGATGAAGATCAAAAACCTTTGGTATGGATTGTCTCCCAATGTAAAGAAAACAAAAATCCTCACCACTGGACCAATAAACAACATTCTTATCAATGGAGAAAAGATTGATGTTGTCAACGACTTCATTCTTCTTGGGTCAACCATCAGCATTCATGGAAGCAGCAGCCAAGAAATCAAATGACGTATTGCATTGGGCAAATCTGCTGCACAAGACTTTTTTAAAATGTTGAAGAACAAAGATGTCAGCTTGACTACTTAGGTGTGCCTGACCCAAGCCATGCTATTTTCAATAACCTCATATGCATACGAAAGCTGCACAGTCAATAAGGAAGACCATAGAAAAATTGATGCTTTTGAGTTATGGTGTTGGAGGAGAATATTGAAAGTGCCATGGCCTGCCGAAAAACAGACAGATCTGTGTTGAAAGAAGTGCAGCCAGAGTGCTCCTTGGAGGCCAGAATGGCCAAACTTCATCTCTCATACTTCGGACATATTGTCAGGAGGGACCATTTGCTGGAGAAGGATATCGTGTTTGGTAAGGTGGGGGGCGGGGGAGGTCAGAAAAAAAGAGGAAGACCCCCAGAGAGATGGATTAGCAAAGTGGCAACATCAATGCGCTCAAGTGTGGCAACAGTAGTGAGGTTGGCCCAGGATCAGGCAGTGTTTCGTTCTATTGTACATAGGGTTGCTATGAGTCGGTATCGACTTGACGGGACCTAACAACAACATTGAATTAGGCTAATCTGCTGCACAAGACCTTATTTTATAGTGTTGAAGAACAAAGATGTTAGCTTGAGGACTAAGGTGCTCCTGACCCAAGCCATGGTATTTTCAGTAACCTCATATGCAATGCAAAGTTGGACAGTGAATAAGGAAGCTTGTAAAAGAATTGATGCATTTGAGTTTTGGTGTTGGAGGAGAATATTGAAAGTACCATGGGCTTCCAAAAGAACCAGCAGATCTATTTTGAAACAAGTGCAGCCAGAGTGCTCCTTGGAGGCCAGGATGGCCAGACATCGTCTCTCATACTTCAAACATATTATCATGAGGGACCAGTCACTGGAGAGGGATATTATGTTTGGTAAGGTGGAGGGACAGAGAAAAAGAGGAAGACCCCCAGTGAGATGCATTGGCAGCATCAGTGGGCTCAAGCGTGGCAACAATTGTGAGGTTAGCCCAGGACCAGGCAGTGTTTCATTCTGTTGTGCATAGGGTCGCTATGAGTTGGTACCAACTGTTGTGCATACACTCACCTAACAACAACTAGAGTCGGAACCATCTCCATGATACTTAACAACAAAAACAACACACTCTCAAGGTTTTAGCTGTTTTTACAGTAATATGAGATCAGATGAAATTGGGGGTTTACTTTTGTTTGATCTGTTTAAATAAAGAGACAAATATGCCTAAGAAGGCTTAATTTTCTACTTAAGTTTTTTGCTTTTAGCTTTATAAAATTCAGTGAAATAGCTTTATTACTAGGAAAAAAGGTACATAGAGAATAACTTTTGCAAATCCACTCTGAGAAATTCTGTAATGAAGTTACAGGCTTAAGAATGACGTAATTCTCATCTGTGTAAAAGGTACCAAAGGGACAGCTGGCCTCTTTAATCCTGGACTCATCTTTTCCATGATGGAAGAGAAGGATACTGTGGCTTTGGTTAATAGACCTTTCTCGATAGCTAACACTTTACTGGGGGAAGAAAGTAAGCTCTCGCTAACTTACCAAGGGATAAAGGATATATCTTAAATGAAAATAAATAGATAGAAATGAAGGAAAAATGGAGTTTTATATCACATTTTGGGGTCTTTGCCTGAATGGTTCCCTTTACCATTGTTTTTTCACTGGCAAAGTCTTGATCTTTAAAATCTGGCTTATTGTGTGTGAGGTTACTTGCATATATGGTTAGTACTTTTAGTGGAGTTTGTAAATGCCTGTCAGTACAGTGGGAGACTTTTTCCCTGACTCATCGAAGTTCATTACTGTCTTAGTTTTGTATTTGCCTTGTGCATATTTCTGTTGCCCAAACATCTGACTTTCTTGTTATTTATTTACATGACTCAGCTCTTCTCAATGTAAACTTACAAGTTTCTCATTATAAGTGTTTGTAATGTAGTGTCAGCACTTGCCTGAATTCCTGAGGAATAAGCATCGGTATCTACACACACGTGACTTTTACAAGGGGGCTTTAAAAAGTTGGTGGAAACATCTTGTTATCTCTCAATTCCATTTTTTCCACGAACTTTCTGAATCCCCCTGCTATGCAGTGGAAGTCAACTTTACCTCCAGTGGTTGACTCTTGACCATTTCTGACACAGGGATTCCCCCCAGGGAAACTCCCGCATGTCTCTCCTGGATTCAAGAATTCTTGTGGTGACCATGTAGGACGCACAGACCATCCTCACACTCTGTGGTTTATTAGGGAAGAACAGGGTACAGCTTGAGATGAGGATCACTTTGGAAGTACCAGGAAAGATTGGGATCAGGACCAGGAAGCACATAGGCATAGGAAGACCCCCCGAGGTGAAGGCACAGTCCTCCCTTCTTCAAACAGGACAGTGAGCTCATAGCTCTTAGTTGTGCTAGCAGGTGGGCCCTTTTTGGAACTTTGGACCGTTTACCTCTCTGCTGCTAACTGGCCGAGCTCATAGCTAGTATAACAGCCTGATCAGCCCTGCAGACCTGCGCAGCCCTCCAACTCTGCCCTTGGGCTCCTTCCAGACCTCTTGCTGTCTTCAGCATTTGACCCATATTAAGATGCTTTTTAGGAGGTTCCCCTCACAGGAAACCTAGGTCCAAACCACTCTTTTCCAGGGTCTTCTTGGTTTTGAAGTTTCCTCCTTGCCTCTCTTCTCTCTTCTGCCTGTTTGCTCTTGTTTAAAAACCTTTGTGGGGTTTGCAGGCTGATAGAAGCAAACTCCTTGTCGATTTCAAGGCATGCCTTCCCAGCATGACCACAAATTGAACTGCAAACCAGTAAGTGCTACTGGGCAGGTTTTCAAGCCTCTTTTTGAATGATAAATCCACCAATCCCTGCATGGTGCACAAAATAGACCAATCACAGGTCAGACAAAAAATATAAACCCAATGAGTTGTTTACAGCTTACCTAGGAAATGGCAGTCAACTTGGGGAATCCCCTATGACAGCTCTTTGATTGGAAAACAGCCTGGGAATCCCCACCTCAAGTTGCTTCTCCAAAGAACTAGTGCAGAAGTAACTCCTCATGATTTAGGAGGGAAATCTCCCCAATTGTTTTTGCAAAGAACCAAGGCCAAAGGCCACATAAAGGAATTCATTTCACCAATTGTTTCCTTCTTTAAACTGTGTTTGGCGAGAAAGGCTTGACTTGCTGTTTGTGTTGAATGGCTATTTGTCTTTTACTCTACGGGTGTTAAGGGAGGCAGTGGTACCTTTTAAACCTGGAAGTAATGTGATTAAATATACTAGCGTAATGTAGGTTTCTACCTTATAATTTTGAGATTGTCACATAGGGACACATTTAGCCTGTGATTGATGCCTCTGAGCAACTTCAGAACATCTTTTTGTTTCCTTTACTTACTTTATGTAATTCCTTTTTATCCTCTTCCTCTTCCGTTTCTCTTTTCTTGTCTGTCAGTGACATTCAGTGGTATCTGTGCGTTGCTTAATCCTACTGATTGTACCCTGGTGTAAAGATGTTGTCTTGACTAGAGATATTCCATGTAGAAAGGTGATTGTTCCATTCTCTGAAACAACATGGGGACGGAATGTAAGGCACTTTGTACAACCCATGTTCAGAATGGTTCTCAACTTTGAAATTTTTGACTGGAAATCTAGCCACTTGGAATAAGTGAATTTGAAGACTTACATCAGGCACAAATTAGAATTTTTTCAGGTGTTATTTTGTGGTGCTATATTATTCTGACCAAAGGGGATTATGTTGTAAACTGTAAACAATATCATGTTTCATTAGTTTAAAAACAAAACTTCCTATTTAAACATGCTACTTAATTGAAAATGTTTTGCCTCACTAATTAGGTATGGATGGCAGAACAGAAAATATCATATGATAAGAAGAAACAAGAAGAATTAATGCAACAGTATCTTAAAGAACAAGAATCATATGATAATAGGTAAGAGATCCCAATATGCTGGTGTTTGTAGAATAACAGCTACATGAAAATGACCCCTTATTGAGCCTAAATTAGGTCAGTTTTTTAAAATTGAGTGCCTCAGTAGTATGAGCTTATCCTTTCCTTGTAAATGGTCACTTTTTACAATTTTACCAATAACTCACATAAAATCTCAATTAATGGGACACATGTATAGTCTGTAAGCAAGTTCCAAATTAGTTCAAGCTTAGAATTGTAAAAGCCTACCCTTGAACTACTGAGACCTCTTACAAAGATGCTTCTTTAATATGTACTCACATGGAAGGATGCCCAGAACAGCTTCAAGAAGAAAAGCAAAGTATCTCTAGTTTAGCTGCATGGTTCTGTTAATGGCAAGAGCATGGCTAAAGGTCTGCATTGGTGTCTGCATAATACCTGGCATTCTACCTATTGTCATTTTGAGTTTATATTTGCAAGTCTAACACTGAAGCTTGGTTTTTACTTATCTGGGTTAAGTTAGTCATGTTTCTTCATTCTCTAGTCTGTACTGTGAATTAGATAACATTTGCTTTAATCTGAGATTCTAAAACAGAATAACAAATTTACCACACAGTCTTGTTTTTCAGTAAAATATGGAGCTCTTAAGTAAAGTAATATTAAGCTATTATTAAATACTTTCTTTGAAACATAATTCTGTATGCTGAGAGCAAAATTAAGTAAAACTCAGAGTTCAGTTAACTACCTTTCTCACTGATTTTATTTACTCTCATGAATTGTTATTGAGTACCTACTGCATGCAAAACAATAAATGGTATTGTGTTGTTGTGTGCCGTTAAGTTGATTCTGACTCATAGCAACCCTCTATTGACAGGGTAGAACTGTCCCATAGAGTTTTCTTGTATATTATTATTTTTATGGAGGCAGATAGCCAGGGTTTTCTTCTGCAGAGCCTTTGGGTGGGTTCAAACCACCAACCATTCATTCAGTTACACCCAAGTGCTTAGTTGTTGTGCTACCAGCACTCCTTAATGGTCTTGTACCTTTTCTCTACCCTCAAGACAATCTAATGATTATCTTTTAATTCCATTGTTCCATGAACTTTTTAAAGCCCCTTATAATTCAAAGTCTAATATACTAACTGATATATTAAAGTAGTTGTTGTTAAGTGCTGTCGAGTAGGTTCCAACTCTTAGCAATCCAGTATAGCATTTCTGAGGACAACTGGTGAGTTTGAGCCACTGACTTTGTAGTTCAAATTGACCTTCTGGTCCAGTGCTTATCCTACAGCGCGCCAAGTCAGGATTCCATTAAATAAGTATAGCATGCTAATGTAGGACAGAATGATTACATTTGGATAATAAGAGAACATTTCATGAAAGAGGTTACATTTACACTGTACTAAGTAGAATGATGGCATCAAGATTAGAGGAAGACTCATTAACAACCTAAACTATGCAGATAATATAGCCATGCTTGCTGAAAGGTTGTTGTTGTTATTAAGTGCTGTTGAGTCAGTTCCAACTCATAGTGACCCTGGATAGAGTTTCCAAGGAGCATCTGGTGAGCTTGAACTGCCAACCTTGTCTTTGCAGTCCAGTGCATTAGCCCACAGTGCTATACCAGGACTCTTGCTAAAAGGTAGGAGGACTTAAAATACTGATTAAGATCAAAAACCGTGATCTTCAGTATGGGTTGCACCTCAATTTAAAGAAAACAAATCTTCACTAGTGGACCAATAAATAACATCATGATAAATGGAGAAAAGATTGAAGTTGTCAAAGACTTCATTTTGCTTGGATCCACTATCAGCACTCATAGAAGCAGCAGTCAAGAAATCGAATGATGTTTTACATTAGGCAGATCTGCTGCACAAGACCTCTTTAAAAGTGTGGAAGAGCAAAGATGTCACTTTGAGGACTAGGGCGCACCTGACCTTAGCCATGATATTTTTCAATAACTCATATGCATATGAAAGTTGGACAGTGAATAAGGAAGACTGTAGAAGAATTGATACATTTGAGTTATGGTGTTGTAAGAGAATATTAAAAATACTATGGACTGCTAAAAGAAGAAACAAATCTGTGTTGGAAGAAGTACAACCAAAATGCTCCTTGGAAGACAGGATGGCCAGACTTTGTCTCTCAAGCTTCGGACATATTGAAAGAAGGATTTTAATAGGTTTTATTTTTATTTATTTATTTTTATATTCTTTTTATTTTATTTTTTTTATGTTTTATTGTGAATTATGTGCCAGTTTACATGGGTGAACATTAGCTTTACATTCATCCTATCATATATTGTTTCATTGCTGTGGTTACAATCCCCTCCATGCATCATCAACCAACCAAAGGGTATACCCTGCAAGCCTTCCCCCTCGTCGTCGTCAATACACAGCCCCTCTCCCTCTCTGGGTCTAGAGTCTCCAGCTGTTCCCTCTCTCCACGTCATGGTCTCTGCCTCCATCTCTGGCATCACTGTTTCTCTGGGTAGGGCCCTGCACTCCGCTCTTCTCCCTTGATGGTCCCAGGGACCTCTGCTCCTGGACTGCAAAGTCAACCACTCCTCTCCTTTTTGTACAAAATGCCCACCTTTACATTTCCAACCCTCACAGTCAGTCCTGATAACAGTTATTCACTATTGTGCCACATGAGTGCCATCCCCATCTCCTTTTATCACCCCCACCCATACAGATTGTATACTACTCAGTGGAGATTCTGCCTTCCTCCACGCTTTCTGGATCTAGGCTCCCTCTTGAAAGCTTGTAAGCCAGTCACTTTTTGCCTTTGTTGTCCCGCATTTTGGGTAGCTAATGTCCAAGTTGCCCATCCCTGTCTACCCTGTGTACCGAGGGGGTGGAAATGATCCTTGCTGTAAAGATTTGTTCCCTTTTGAGCTACTGCATTCATAGGTATAGGTCAAGTTCATCAATTGTATCAGATTACTCTTTTTTTCCTCTTTCTTCTTCTGGTTGAGTTCTGATCATCCAGCCATTGAAGTCAGGTCAAGTGGGTATTATCTGCAAGTGTGGGTTGTCTTGTGCATATGCCCTCTCTTCTTATCAGCTGGACGCTTCACTCTCCACTCTAGTCCTCTGTGGCTGTGTCACTGACTCTGGGCCCAGGAATCCCTGGGTCTTGCCACACTGCTAGCCAACCAGGTCTCCACCCGGGATCACAGGAGTCTACTGAACGTTGTAGGGCTTAGCTTGCAGCTTCATTGCTGTTTTTTCCCTCACTTCCCCTTATTGGTGACCAACATGGTCACCAGTCAGAGTACATGTCTGCTCGTGTATTCCCATTGAGTCTTAGCCTTGGAAGGGAGTTTAATAGGTTTTAGTTATATACATTTTAACCCTTTTTAATCATCGTTCCCAGCCATTACTGCCCTGACTAACTTCTCCCTTGTGTACATGCTCCTGGGACGTGTAGCTGAAGGGCTTAGTGGTATTTTTTATTAAAACTCAGAAGAAAGAGACAAGTTGGAAGGAGGAAACCCAGAGGAGAAAGTGTTTGGTGCCTGGGTGTCTTCAATAACCCCACCCTTTGTGTGATGGGAAAAGAGGGAGTGACTCCCAGAGGGTAAAGGACCTTGAGCTTGTGGAGTGCAGATTGCCCTCCTAGATGGGAGGCAGCATTAGGCTCTGAGAAAGAAATGTGACAAAACAAATGGGTTAATATCCAGGAGGGCATGAAAACTCCAACTGTATGGGGGAAGCCAAGGCAGCCTTTGAAGAAGCATTCTCACTGCCTTCCAGATCTGTCAATAAACTGTATGTTGATTCTCACCCCATCTCAGTTATTGGCTGTAGTGGCTGGTGGTTGGGCTTTTGTCCAGTAACAATATTTTATCAGGAGGGACCAGTCCCTGGAGAGGGACATCATGCTAGGTAAAGTGGACAGTCGGTGAAAAAGGACAACCCCCAGCAAGGTGGGTTGGCACTTATGGCTGCAGCAGAGGACTCAGGTTTAACAACAATTGTGAGGATGGCATAGGACTTGGCAGTGTTTTGTTCTGTTGTGCATAAGGTTGCTGTGAATTGGAACTGACTCAATGGCCCGTTGCGAAAACAAATAGAATGATACAGATTTAGGTCATTGTTAGTGGACAGAAGTGGCACTGTCTGGTGTGGCAATGTCTGGATACATTTTTGGTCCTTACAACTGTTGGGGTAGGGGTGCATGTGTCCAGCATCTAGGAATAGAAGCTAAGGAGACTGTAAAACATCCTAAAATGCATAGGACACTTCCTACAACTAAGAATCGTCTTTCACTAAATGTCAGTAGTGTTACTGTTGAAAAAACCTAATTTAGATATATTGATGTTGTTAAGTGCCATCGAGTCAGTTCTGACTCACAGTGACCATACATAGGGTTTCTGAGGAGAAGCTGGTAGGTTTGAACCGCAGACCTTGTAGTTCGCAGTCCAGTGCTTATTCTACAGTACCACACTAGAAGTCCAATTCAGATATAGTAAAACTTCTAAAGATCAGCCCTGGGTAAAAATGTAGAGGCTATTCAAGAAACAGACAAAATTGAGTTAGAGGTATGAAATGATAGTCATGGTGGAAAAGCAGGTTTGAAACGGATCATTTATTTGTTTGCATTTATTTTCTATTTTGAAAAAGAGTTCCTGTTCTTCCCTTTGTAAGTAATAAATATTTGACACTTTACAGATACCCTTTTTCTCTTTGAACTTTTGCCTACTCATTTTAACATTCATCTTGCCTACAAGTAATTACTGTATTGTTCTAATGGTGATTTTTTATTTCCCTCATTCCCTCTACAATTTGATTTCTGTGAGGAAGAATTTTCCCTTTTCCCCATATATTTATTTAGTCATTTATTTTTATCAGTGTAGATTCATAGAAATATTTATTTCATGAATATTTATTTATTTGGACTGTATTCCAATACAATCATTATTTCCTTTGCTCTCAAATTGTTCTTGTTTTGGCCATTAATGGCTCTGTCAGCTTGGCTGCTCCATTTAACATATTCCAACTTTTTTTTTTTTCCTAAGCA